ACCATTCACTCAGCCCCGCCGGAGAAGCGCCTTCTACTCTACATCCTCACCCGGATTCTTCGCCCCCGGGACGGCAGCCACACGTGTCTCTTCAACGAGGATCTCAAGGCCGTTCATGCAATCACCCATGGCGCCTCGATCAATTGGGCGAAATACGTCATGATCCACATGGCGGATTGCGCCTCAATCGCCACCGAAAAGAGCTTGCCCTACGCCTTCATCGTCATGGATCTCATTGTCGCGGCCGAAATCCACATCGCCGGACCGGACACGAAGATGACAAAGATTTGGATCATCCAAGACAGCACCTTCCGGAAGAAGTCCGGTGACGAAACAGGCGATGGACCGAGTCGGGCCCGTGCCCGTGCCCCTGCCACTGCTCCCGCTCCCGCTCGGGCCTCACTGCAGTCCATACCCGATACCCTGAATTGGCTAACCGTCACCGTGGATGGCATGGGCCAATACCTGGAGAGGATGGACTGGACGCTGCAACGCCAAAACCACGACATGACGGCGTACTTCCGGGGCATCAACTACGTCCCGCCGCCCTTTGACAGCACCATCCTCGGCCAAAACTTCGAAGGCGAGGATGAGGAGGATGACTCCTATGCTCCGTCCTCCTCCCCCGACGAGCCCGATTTTGAGGACGCGGTCGACGGGGATCCCATGGACGTTGAGGACGACGAAGAAGACGATGACGCCGAGGACGAGGACGCCGCTGCCTAAACTCTTCTTTCTTTTCCTTCATTACTATGATTGTCTTTTTTATTATTTCCATTCCGTTGTATTCCGCATTTTCTCCTTTTTAATGAATAAAAGTTTACTTTTATACTCCAAAGTTCACTTTTAATTCTTTTTGTTAATGTCAAAAGGGGGAAGATATCAAAGTTATGCATAATTTGAGGGGGAATTATTTTTCAAATAAAATGGCATCTATTAAGGGGGAACACTTTTTTAAAGTCTCAAAGACTTCCTCATATGCATAACCTCATCTCGTTTGCCATTATCAAAAAGGGGGAAATTGTTGAAACACGGGCATGTCACGTTTTCGTACTAAAGCCGTGTTTGTTTTTATGACAGGTTTTGATAATGCCAAACCGCCGTGATCAAGT